AGTATGTATGAATTCTTTTCAATATAAAGTCAAAATACCAAATATTTTGTTTCATTTAGCATTTATAGCCCCATATAAATATAAAAGAGCTTTTCTGAGGACGACACCTTAAAGATTTATTAACAGCTAAAAATATCATTCAAAAAACAAATATAAATTTGACAAATTCTTATTTTAAGTTCTTCAAACATATAGCTATGAGCCACTGCTGTTAACAGACCCGAAGGAATATTAGAAAATAAGAAAAGCTCTTCTCGACAAAAGATTGTTGAATGGGATAAAGGAGGTTCCCCCCTTGCACAAACAAGCTGCCTTGAAGGTTACCATTCTGTTGTCAATCACTTTGCCCCAAAAATGGTAGCATATTCGCATAGTGGAATATTTTGCAGGTAAAAAGTTGATAATTGTAGTAGGCATAGATGATTGATATCAAAAATGGTGTTTAACTCTTTGTCTATAATAAGACTTTTGACAGACTTTTGACACCTTCTTTGGCAAGAATTTAAGAAAAAGAATAATTCTCGTTTTCTCCATTTCTTGAAGAATTCAAATTTTAAAATTGTGAGTAATGTGATATCGTTGAAATTGAGTGAGTTGATCTAGTTTTGTCATTTCATTTCACAGAACAGCTCTAGCTGCAGTTCATTTTAACGCAAATATCCACAGAGCTGCTGAATGCAGACGGGGAAAGGCAAATCAAGACATTTTACCCCAAATTCAAAAATGGTGAGGCTTCTATCAAAGATGTTAGAGAACCACAGAATTTTGGTATGTTCTTATAACTTTTTTAATCCCTCCTGTATAGCTATATAGTGAACCATGTACTTGGTCATATATTTATTAAACTTTTTTTTTACAAAACATTTGTTTATTATTGTGTACTCAAATCTTTCTGGTTTTAACACTCAGCTAGTTGGCTTTTGTTATAACACAACAAAAGTTACATTTTTTATAACACAACGTTTTGTGTTCAACATTGACATGTGAAATTATTTGTTCATTTCAGATTACATAGAAGAAATATATCAGCTGTTAACAAAGTTAGAGCCAAATGAATTGAGGATTGCACAAAAGACCCTAGAAGATCAGGCCCCTGCACCAATTAACACGATGTTGGCCAAGCAACCAAGAGAGGAGGCCATTATTAAACAAGCTGAAAGAAAGGCAATGGTGACATTAGATGTACCTCCAACAAATGGTGAGCATCAAAGTCATGTCAAGTGCTCAGTTTTAATTATTAGTTGCAAGATCTTAGACTAACGTCTGGCAAGTAATGTGATGCATTGTTTTAGCCTAAAAATCTGTGAATCACATAGCAACCAACATACAGATCAACTGACAGGGTGATATTGTATGCCTTCTGTGGCACAGTAGAATAAAACAAAATCTCTTGTTGTATTGTTTTTGCTTATATTTTTACCACTTTCTAACAAATATTATCTTAATTGTAGATCCAGACACCTTAGAAGCTGATCCGGAGCCAAAAGTTAGACATTGCAGTGCTGAAAATGAAAGAAACTATATACAAAAAATAAAAACATATAAGGTCTTTTATTTATATTATGGTTCATCAGCATATCCCTTGTTTCCATTGCTGCTTGGAAAAGTTTTTCTAATGGCATAATACAAACACTCAGGCAATGGTATTGGTCTGTCTCCTAAAATCCCATATATCAGTCTTCTGAATTCTCTGTAGGACACACTTCTCAGCAATCTGTAATAGAAGAGTAGAACAAAAATTGACAAGCTTATCAAGAAATAATTAGAAAATCATGTAAACTTGTTAGAAATTTACAGAAATCAACCATTTTTTTAAAATTTTTACAGAGCTTACACATTTTTTTAAATGAAGTCCTGTTTCTCTCGTTTATCCATTAGAAATATATGGGGCTAAAATATTAGTTTTTTAGGGATCTTTGTTTTTTTTCTGGCCCCCAGAAATGGAATGGCGCCCAGAAAGTTTTTTCCCTTTCTTGCCCCCTCGAAGATTTTTTAAAAAAAATGTCTATTTTAACATTAAGATTTCTTCCATAGCTGTTCAATCGTTTTTTGACTTTTTGTAGGGATGTTTTTTTCTGGCCCCTAGCAATGGTATGGCCCCCAGAAAGTTTCTTTGCCCTTGCTTGCCCCCTCCCAGTTTTTTGAAAAAATTCTCTACTCAAACATAAAGATTTCTTCAATAGCTGTTCAATCGTTTTTCAGCTTTGTTAGTGATATTTCTTTTTTTTTCTGGCCGCCAGAAATGTTTCTTTTAAAACATCAAGATTTCTCCCATAGCTGTTCAATCGTTTTTTGACTATGTTAGGGATCTTTCTTTTTTCTGGCCCCCAGAAAAAGAATAACCCCCAGAAAGGTTCTTTGCCCCTCCTTGCCCCTCCCAGTTTTACAAAAAAAAATTCTATTAAAAGATCAAGATTTCTTCCATAGCTGTTCAATCGTTTGTTGACTTTGTTAGGGATCTTTTTTTTTCTGGCCCACAGAAATAGAATAACCCCCAGAAAGGTTCTTTGCCCCTCCTTGCCCCTCCCAGTTTTACAAAAAAAATTTCTAATAAAACAGCAAGATTTCTTTCCTAGCTGTTCAGTCGCTTTTCGACTTTGTTAGGGATATTTCTTTTTTTCTGGCTGCCAGAAAGTTTCTTTGCCCTTGCTTGCCCCCTCCCAGTTTTTAAAAAAAAGTTTCTATTAAAACATCAAGATTTCTTCCATAGCTGTTCAATCGTTTTTTGACTTTTTTAGGGATCTTTCTTTTTTCTGGCCCCAAGAAATGAAATGGCCCCAACAAATGTTCTTTGCCCTTCCTTGCCCCCTCCAAGTTTTTTAGAAAATATCTCTATTAAAACATCAAGATTTCTTCCATAGCTGTTCAATCGTTTTTTGACTTTGTTTGGGATCTTACTTTTTCTTTGGCCCCCAGAAATGGAATGGTCCCCAGAAAGTTTCTTTGCCCTTGCTTGCCCCCTCCCAGTTTTTTAAAAAAATTTCTTCTAAAACATCAAGATTTCTTCCATAGCTGTTCAATCGTTTTTTGACTTTGTTGGGTATCTTTTTTTTTCAGGCCCCCTAAAATGGCATGGCCCCCAGAAAGTTTGTTTGCCCTTGCTTGCCCCCTCCCAGTTTTTTAAATAAATTTCTTTTAAAACTTCCAGATTTCTTTCATAGCTGTTCAATCGTTTTTTGACTTTGTTGGGTATCTTTCTTTTTTTCAGGCCCCCTAAAATGGCATAGCCCCTAAAAGTTTTTTGCCCTTGCTTGCCCCCTCCCAGTTTTTAAAAAGAATTCTATTCAAACATCAAGATTTCTTCTATAGCTGTTTAATCGTTGTTTGACTTTCTTTTGGATTTTTTTTTCTGGTTGCCAGGAATGAAATTGTCCCCAGAAAGTTTCTTGCCTTTTGCTTGCCCCCTCCCAGTTTTTTTAAAAATTTTCTATTAAAACATCAAGATTTCTTCCAGAGCTGTTCAATTATTTTTTGACCTTGTTAGGGATCTTTCTTTTTTCTGGCCGCCAGGAATGACATTGTCCCCAGAAAGTTTCTTGCCTTTTGCTTGCCCCCTCCCAGTTTTTTAAAAAAATTTCTTCTAAAACATCAAGATTTCTTCCATAGCTGTTCAATCGTTTTTTGACTTTGTTGGGTATCTTTTTTTTTCAGGCCCCCTAAAATGGCATGGCCCCCAGAAAGTTTGTTTGCCCTTGCTTGCCCCCTCCCAGTTTTTTAAATAAATTTCTTTTAAAACTTCCAGATTTCTTTCATAGCTGTTCAATCGTTTTTTGACTTTGTTGGGTATCTTTCTTTTTTTCAGGCCCCCTAAAATGGCATAGCCCCTAAAAGTTTTTTGCCCTTGCTTGCCCCCTCCCAGTTTTTAAAAAGAATTCTATTCAAACATCAAGATTTCTTCTATAGCTGTTTAATCGTTGTTTGACTTTCTTTTGGATTTTTTTTTCTGGTTGCCAGGAATGAAATTGTCCCCAGAAAGTTTCTTGCCTTTTGCTTGCCCCCTCCCAGTTTTTTTAAAAATTTTCTATTAAAACATCAAGATTTCTTCCAGAGCTGTTCAATTATTTTTTGACCTTGTTAGGGATCTTTCTTTTTTCTGGCCGCCAGGAATGACATTGTCCCCAGAAAGTTTCTTGCCTTTTGCTTGCCCCCTCCCAGTTTTTTAAAAAAATTTCTTCTAAAACATCAAGATTTCTTCCATAGCTGTTCAATCGTTTTTTGACTTTGTTGGGTATCTTTTTTTTTCAGGCCCCCTAAAATGGCATGGCCCCCAGAAAGTTTGTTTGCCCTTGCTTGCCCCCTCCCAGTTTTTTAAATAAATTTCTTTTAAAACTTCCAGATTTCTTTCATAGCTGTTCAATCGTTTTTTGACTTTGTTGGGTATCTTTCTTTTTTTCAGGCCCCCTAAAATGGCATAGCCCCTAAAAGTTTTTTGCCCTTGCTTGCCCCCTCCCAGTTTTTAAAAAGAATTCTATTCAAACATCAAGATTTCTTCTATAGCTGTTTAATCGTTGTTTGACTTTCTTTTGGATTTTTTTTTCTGGTTGCCAGGAATGAAATTGTCCCCAGAAAGTTTCTTGCCTTTTGCTTGCCCCCTCCCAGTTTTTTTAAAAATTTTCTATTAAAACATCAAGATTTCTTCCAGAGCTGTTCAATTATTTTTTGACCTTGTTAGGGATCTTTCTTTTTTCTGGCCGCCAGGAATGACATTGTCCCCAGAAAGTTTCTTGCCTTTTGCTTGCCCCCTCCCAGTTTTTTAAAAAAATTTCTTCTAAAACATCAAGATTTCTTCCATAGCTGTTCAATCGTTTTTTGACTTTGTTGGGTATCTTTTTTTTTCAGGCCCCCTAAAATGGCATGGCCCCCAGAAAGTTTGTTTGCCCTTGCTTGCCCCCTCCCAGTTTTTTAAATAAATTTCTTTTAAAACTTCCAGATTTCTTTCATAGCTGTTCAATCGTTTTTTGACTTTGTTGGGTATCTTTCTTTTTTTCAGGCCCCCTAAAATGGCATAGCCCCTAAAAGTTTTTTGCCCTTGCTTGCCCCCTCCCAGTTTTTAAAAAGAATTCTATTCAAACATCAAGATTTCTTCTATAGCTGTTTAATCGTTGTTTGACTTTCTTTTGGATTTTTTTTTCTGGTTGCCAGGAATGAAATTGTCCCCAGAAAGTTTCTTGCCTTTTGCTTGCCCCCTCCCAGTTTTTTTAAAAATTTTCTATTAAAACATCAAGATTTCTTCCAGAGCTGTTCAATTATTTTTTGACCTTGTTAGGGATCTTTCTTTTTTCTGGCCGCCAGGAATGACATTGTCCCAAGAAAGTTTCTTTGCCCTTGCTTGCCCCCTCCCAGTTTTTTAAAAAAATATTCTATTAAAACATCAAGATTTCTTCCATAGCTGTTCAATCGTTTTTGACTTTTTTAGGAATCTTTCTTTTTTTCTGGTCCCCAGAAATGGAATGGACCCCGAAAAGTTTCTTTGCCCTTGCTTGCCCCCTCCCAATTTTTTAGAAAAATTCTGTAGTAAACATCAAGATTTCTTCCATAGCTGTTCAAATGTTTTTTTACTTTGTTAGCGCTGTTTCTTTTTTTCTGGCCCCCAGAAAAGGAATGGACCCCAGAAAGCTTCTTTGCCCTTGCTTGCCCCCTCCCAGTTTTTAAAAAAAATTTCTTTTTAAACATCAAGATTTCTTCCAAAGCTGTTCAAACGTTTTTGACGTTGTTAGGGACCTTCCTTTTTTTCTGGCCCCCAGAAATGGAATGGCCCCCAGAAAGGTTCTTTGCCCCTCCTTGCCCCTCCCAGTTTTACCAAAAAAATTTCTATTTAAAGATCAAGATTTCTTCCATAGCTGTTCAATCGTTTGTTGACTTTGTTAGGGATCTCTCTTTTTTTCCGGCCCCCAGAAATAGAATAACCCCCAGAAAGGTTCTTTGCCCCTCCTTGCCCCTCCCAGTTTTACAAAAAAAATTTCTATCAAAACATCAAGATTTCTTTCACAGCTGTTCAATCGCTTTTCAACTTTGTTAGGGATATTTCTTTTTTTCTGGGCGCCAGAAAGTTTCTTTGCCCTTGCTTGCCCCTTCCCAGTTTTTTTGAAAAAAAATTCTTTTAAAACATCAAGATTTCTGCCATAGCTTTTCAATCGTTTTTTGACTTTGTTTGGGATCTTACTTTTTTCTTTGGCCCCCAGAAATGGAATGGCCCCCAGAAAGTTTGTTTGCTCTTGCTTGCCCCCTCCCAGTTTTTTAAAAAATTTTCTATTTAAACATCAAGTTTTTTTCCATAGCTTTTCAATCGTTTTTTGACTTTGTTTGGGATTTTTCTTTTTTTTTCTGGGCCCCAGAAATGGAATGGCCCCCTAAAAGTTTTTTTGCCCTTGCTTGCACCCTCCCAGTTTTTTTAAAAAAGTTCTATTGAAACATCAAGATTTCTTCCATAGCTGTTCAATCGTTTTTTGACTTTGCTAGGGATCTTCCTTTTTTTCTGGCCCCCAGAAAGGAATGGCCCCCAGAAACTTTGTTTGCCCTTGCTCGACCCCTCCTATTTTTTTAAAAAAAATTTCTATTAAAACATCAAAATTTCTTCCATAGCTGTTCAATTGTTTTTTTACTTTGTTAGCGCTGTTTCTTTTTTTCTGGCCCCCAGAAATGAAATGGCCCCCAGAAAGCTTCATTGCCCTTGCTTGCTCCCTCGCAGTTTTTTAAAAAAAATTCTTTTAAAACATCAAGATTTCTTCCAAAGCTGTTCAAACGTTTTTGACGTTGTTAGGGACCTTCCTTTTTTTCGTGCCCCCAGAAATGGAATGGCCCCCAGAAAGCTTCTTTGCCCTTGCTTGCCCCCTCCTAGTTTTTAAAAAAAATTCTATTTAAACAATAAGATTCTTTCCATAGCTATTCAATCGTTTTCGGACTTTGTTAGGGATATTTCTTTTTTTGTCTGGCCCCCAAAAATTTTGTTTGCCTTTGCTTGCCCCCTCCCAGTTTTTCAAAAAAATTTCCATTAAAACATCAAGATTTCTTCCATAGCTGTTCAATCGTTTTTTGACTTTGCTAGGGACCTTCCTTTTTTTCTGGCCCCCAGAAAGGAATGGCCCCCAGAAAGTTTTTTTGCCCTTCCTCGACCCCTCCTATTTTCCTAAAAAAAATTTCTTTTAAAACATCAAAATTTGTTCCATAGCTGTTCAATTGTTTTTCTACTTTGTTAGCTCTGTTTCTTTTTTTCTGGCCCCAAGAAATGGAATGGCCCCCAGAAAGCTTCTTTGCCCTTGCTTGCCCCCTCCCAGTTTTTAAAAAAATTTCTTTTAAAACATCAAGATTTCTTCCAAAGCTGTTCAAACGTTTTTGACGTTGTTAGGGACCTTCCTTTTTTTTCTGGCCCCCAGAAATGGAATGGCCCCCAGAAAGCTTCTTTGCCCTTGCTTGACCCCTCCTAGTTTTTAAAAAAATTATATCTAAACATCAAGATTCCTTCCATAGCTGTTCAATCGTTTTTGACGTTGTTAGGGACATTCCTTTTTTTTCTGGCCCCCAGAAAGCTTCTTTCCCTTGCTTGCCCCATCCCAGTTTTTAAAAAAAAATTTTTATTAAAACATTAAGATTTCTTCCATAGCTGTTCAATCGTTTTTTGACTTTGTTAAGGCTCTATTTTTTCTGGCTCCCAGAAATGGAATGGCCCCCAATAAGTTTGTTTGCCCTTGCTTGCCCCCTCCCAGTTTTTTAAAAAAAAATTCTATTAAAACATCAAGATTTCTTCCATAGCTGTTCAATCGTTTTTCGACTTTGATAAGCCTCTTTTTTTCTGGCCCCAGAAAGGAATGGCCCCCAGAAAGTTTTTTTGCCCTTCCTCGACCCCTCCTATTTTCCTAAAAAAAATTTCTTTTAAAACATCAAAATTTGTTCCATAGCTGTTCAATTGTTTTTCTACTTTGTTAGCTCTGTTTCTTTTTTTCTGGCCCCAAGAAATGGAATGGCCCCCAGAAAGCTTCTTTGCCCTTGCTTGCCCCCTCCCAGTTTTTAAAAAAATTTCTTTTAAAACATCAAGATTTCTTCCAAAGCTGTTCAAACGTTTTTTGACTTTGTTTGGGATTTTTCTTTTTGTTCTGGGCCCCAGAAATGGAATGGCCCCCTAAAAGTTTTTTTGCCCTTGCTTGCACCCTCCCAGTTTTTTTAAAAAAGTTCTATTGAAACATCAAGATTGCTTCCATAGCTGTTCAATCGTTTTTTGACTTTGCTAGGGATCTTCCTTTTTTTCTGGCCCCCAGAAAGGAATGGCACCCAGAAACTTTGTTTGCCCTTGCTCGACCCCTCCTATTTTTTTAAAAAAAATTTCTATTAAAACATCAAAATTTCTTCCATAGCTGTTCAATTGTTTTTTTACTTTGTTAGCGCTGTTTCTTTTTTTCTGGCCCCCAGAAATGGAATGGCCCCCAGAAAGCTTCTTTGCCCTTGCTTGCTCCCTCGCAGTTTTTTAAAAAAAATTCTTTTAAAACATCAAGATTTCTTCCAAAGCTGTTCAAACGTTTTTGACGTTGTTAGGGATATTTCTTTTTTTGTCTGGCCCCCAAAAATTTTGTTTGCCTTTGCTTGCCCCCTCCCAGTTTTTCAAAAAAATTTCCATTAAAACATCAAGATTTTTTCCATAGCTGTTCAATCGTTTTTTGACTTTGCTAGGGATCTTCCTTTTTTTCTGGCCCCCAGAAAGGAATGGCCCCCAGAAAGTTTTTTTGCCCTTCCTCGACCCCTCCTATTTTCCTAAAAAAAATTTCTTTTAAAACATCAAAATTTGTTCCATAGCTGTTCAATTGTTTTTCTACTTTGTTAGCGCTGTTTCTTTTTTTCTGGCCACAAGAAATGGAATGGCCCCCAGAAAGCTTCTTTGCCCTTGCTTGCCCCCTCCCAGTTTTTAAAAAAATTTCTTTTAAAACATCAAGATTTCTTCCAAAGCTGTTCAAACGTTTTTGACGTTGTTAGGGACCTTCCTTTTTTTCTGGCCCCCAGAAATGGAATAGCCCCCAGAAAGTTTGTTTGCCCTTGCTTGCCCACTCCCAGTTTTTTAAAAAAAAATTCTATTGAAACATCAAGATTTCTTCCATAGCTGCTCAATCGTTTTTGACGTTGTTAAGGCTCTCTTTTTTCTGGCTCCCAGAAAGCTTCTTTCCCTTGCTTGCCCCCTCCCAGTTTTTGAAAAATTTTTTTTATTAAAACATTAAGATTTCTTCCAAAGCTTTTCAATCGTTTTTGACGTTGTCAGAGACCTTCCTTTTTTTCTGGCCCCCAGAAATGAAATGGCCCCCAGAAAGCTTCTTTACTCTTGCTTGCCCCCTCTCAGTTTTTAAATATAATTTCTATCAAAACATCAAGATTTCTTCCAAAACTGTTCAAACGTTTTTGAC